TGCTGCTGCTGCTGCTGCCACGCTGCTCTGGGGCTGGCTCGCTGCGCAGCAGCTGCAGCAGCACCCGCTCTTCTTCTGCCCCCAGCCCTTCATCTCGCTCCGCCCCTTTGCTGCTCTCCACGAGCTCAGCTGCAGCCCCTCGCCGGTCTACGTGCCCCGCTGCGCCGACGCCTTGCTGCAGCGCTTCGGCCTGCTGCAGCAGCAGCCGCCGCTGCTGCAGCAGCAGCACCAGCTCCACCTCCGCCAGCTCGCGCTCCTCAGGCAGCAGCAGGCCGCCAACAACCAGGCCGCTGCTGCTGCGGAGCAGCTCGGCCTCCTCCGCCAGATCCAGCAGCAGCTCCGCCGCGAGCAGCAGCACCACCAGCAGCAGCAGCACGCCCTCGCGCTTCAGCTGCAGCAGCACCAGCACCTCCACCCCGGCCCCGCCGAGCCCCCGCCGCACGCCCGCCAGCAGCAGCAGCACCTCCTCCACCAGCAGCACCAGCACCTCCAGCTCCAGCTCCAGCAGCAGCAGCAGCAGCAGCGCGAACTCGAGGAGGAAATGCACCTCCACGACCGCGAAGTCGCCCAGCTGCAGCAGCAGCAGCAGCAGCTGCTCCAGCGCGTCGACCTCCTGCAGCAGGAACGCGATCAAACTGCTGCGCAGGAAAAACAAATCTGCACTTCTCTCTTCGAATCTCCTTTTTCTTTCCATGCTCTTGTCTTGGCTTCTTTTGCTGCTTTCTTCGCTCCCTTCGGAGGCTTCTTTGCTTCCGGATTCAAACGCGCTGTCCGCATCAAGGTAAACAACGTTCCAGGGTTTGCCACCGCCCGTGAGGGTTTGGGAGGCTTTGCGGGGGTTTGCCGGCGTTTACGAGGGTTTACGAGGGCTTACACGACTTAACAGGGCTTACGGGGGTTTAGGGGGGGGTACGAGGGTTTACGCGGGTTTACGAGGGTTTACGCGGGTTTACGAGGGTTTACGGGGGTTAAGGGGGTTTAAGGGGGTTTGCGAGGCCAGCCAGCCAGCCAGCTAGCTAGCCATTAAGCCGTCCTCCCAGCCAGCTAGCCAGCTAGCCAGCTAGCT